TTTATTTATTCTTTTTCATGAAATATTTAGGATTAACAAAAGCCGACTTTCTCTCATAATGTATTCGTTGCCGTGTTGGACGCAAATTATGATGCTCCTTCCCAAATCTTACATGACAAACCAACAACCCACAATTTATGTAATTAATCCTATATATTATTTACATACCACAATATTTATAATGTAACAAATTCTATAAATAAATAAATTGAAACTACCGAAACCTAATGTTTCAAATATAATACTGGTCGATAATATCGAATACCGATAGTTCAGCTGACATTATAAACCTTTAAATAATTTTTTTTCCTAAAATAGCAGTTTCATATCGAAAAATATTGGTTTACTTAAAAAGTACATGGTAAATGTACCGAATTTTTCAAAACTTTTTTTAGTTTCTTAATATCTTTATGCTGTTTTTTTTTACATAAATTTAAAGTTCTACACTTAATTAAATATATTTACATTCTTATTTGATTTTAATCAATTTAATATTCAGATATAAAGTTGGTTTAAGTTTTACGCATTATTTATATTATCATAATCAATTTAATTAATATTTATTAAAATCGAGAAAATAACTTATAAAATCAATTGCACTAATTGAACCGCATACTAGTGGTTTGTCCGTTGTCTTTCCTTTTACATACTAAATGTGGGATATTTGTTACCAGAACTTAGAAGGAAAGAGAATGCGATCAATGTGAAGTCTATGGACCAAATTCAACTATTCATGTGAAGTTTATGGTCAAAATTCAAGGATCACGTTATCAAATAGTTGATAATGCAATTTTGACAAGCTTGGTTGATGTTAAAGGAATAAACCTTAAAATTGTGACTTCAATTTATTGAGCACATAGTTTTCATTAATTCACCAGTTATAAGCATTGAAGTCTTATCTCGAGACTCGAGAGTTAGGATGGACTGGATATTAGAGTTTTTAAGTGATAAATACGTACATTATTCCCTAATTTCTTCTTAATTTTATTAATACATTTTATTAATTAAAAACTAACTATTACCAGATATTTTTTATAATATGTATTATTCAACCATTCAAATAATTTGAGTTGATATTTATTATTTTGCTTTCACATCAATCAACTGTAATTGTTGCAACATCATCTTTATCGATCACATTTTGATTTTTATTTATCAAAGTATTTTCCTAAAACAACCTCTAATTATTTATTATTATTTTTATTTTTTATTTTTTATTTTTTGGGTTCATGAAAGCATATTCCATTCTACCTCCAAAGGTAAAACAAAAATGGAATACAAAAACAGAATATGAGTAATAGTTAGATGAAATGTAGTGATGTGAATAGTACATAACAGAAGATGCTCTTGCAGGGGAAAGCACGACATTCACTGCTAAGGTTTTGATAAAAAAATCTGCTAACACATTTTTGTACTATACTTCATTTGACACTTGTTTTAAATTCCCAGTTTCCAAGGGACTCTAGTAGTATGTGTGTGTTCTGCTCCCACATTGTCCAACGTTGAATATGTCCTCTTTTTCAAGATTAATTGAGTATTTCCTTTATGTCAAGATTCCATAATTTAATTCTCCTAATTTTTCATTTTTTTTTTTTGGATGATATAGTGTGAGTTAGACAGCTTTTATTTAATTGAGTTAAAAAAGGCATGTTTTGAATGGCTAAGGGTGTGTTTGAATATGAATTTGATTGAAAAAAACGTTATTTTTAACTCAATTGACTATACTTTACTATCGTTGTTATTTATAAATATAATTAAATAATATTAATTAATCATTTTTATACATCAAAATCAATTTTAATTCACTATCATTAATTTACATAATTTTAACTAATCATCATTTCACATCATCGCTCTCATATATTTACATCATATCAACTTTAATTATTTTATTTTAAATATTATTTTAATATAAACTTAAAATCTCACTAACAAGTAATTATACCACTTTTTCAAATTAACTATAATTAACAGAAAACCAATCAAAACCAAATTAAATTTATATCAAATCACACTCTAAGGACTCTTCTAGTTGATTGACCAACTAGTTGAAATGCCTACTATTTTAATAATTCTATTAATAAAAAAAAAATTACATCAAATTTTAATTTATTAACTACCAGTGCATAGTTGTAAAATCTGAACCGTCATTGATTTCAGTTGGACTCTAGGTTATCGTGTCACCGGTCCAACCATCGAGGTTTCGGATCAATTGTTGAACCAAATAATAAATTTTATAAAATTTTAAATTATACTTATATTATGGTTATCTTATAACTATACATAAAATTAACTTTAATATGATTGTGAAAATAAAGGATGCCAGTATTTATCTGGAAGTAAAAGTATAAATGAAAAGAAATGATTGAATGATGTGATTTAAACTCAAAAATATATTTATTTATGATATTAAATGTTTTTAGTGTATTCTATGTAAGATAAACAAATTATTTTATGTATTAAAACACATTTTCTTACTAAAAAATAAGAAAAATGCCCTATATTCCTCATCTCTCATCCTAGTTTCACAAAAGATGTCAGGACAAACGTCTAGGCTTGTGCTACACCCCTACGTGAGAGGATAGACTCTAAATTGAGTTGTTTTAGTCTTGAGTAGGGGATGAGTTCATCAAAGTTCATGAGGTTCTAAGCGAGCTTGACAAGAATGTTAAGTTGTAATTACATTTTGTGGCATCTCGGGAGGTCAGTTGTGTATTTCATTTGGCAAGGAAAACTTATGCGATATTCAACTTTTCAACGTCTGTTGGATAGTTTGGACAAGCTCTCTCTTCCCTTTTTTGGAGGAGCTAATGGTATTTGGGTGTTGGGCTGGATCATATGAGATGCACATGGAAATGGGTCGAGGCCTAGAATCGTCGAATATAACCACTTTTATGGGGTCGTATAAAAATCAAGGGACAGTTAGGAGCATGACGGGCTAGTGAGCTAGCAAGCTCGGCCAAACGCGTCGACAAGACGGTTATTGGTTCAATTAATATCAGTGACATGCACTGACCGAGGATCGGCCGAGTGGACTCAATGTGCAAGAATAACACTTATGGTTGAGACGGTAATTGACCCGCAAGGTTCGACAATAGCTGCTAACCAAGTAGCAGAGCTTGGTTGGCTTCGTGAGCGAGGAACGCGGAACGGTTGTTGACCAAGCTACCAAGTTGACGCGGTCATACGAAAAAAGTGCGGGCGACTGAAAGCTGCTAGAGGCTGAGTTGGTACAAGCGGGGGAACTCCCGGGCACATTGCAAGGCGGTTTGACCCAACAACTAGGGTTTGAATGCTATGTAGCCCTAGGTCTATAAATAGGTCGAGCCAAGCATTCAAGTGAGCATTCAAATTTTAGCAAATTCCATATTGAGTGAGAGAAGGTTGAAATGCGAGAGCACAAAGGCGATGTAAAATATTAACCGAGCATTCCTAGTACTTGCATTCTACTGAGTGCGTGAGTTGGCATACGCCAAAGTGTTTGTAGCGTGTGTAAGACCAATATCTATAAGGCTGACACTAAAATTGGCGAACGTTAGGTAGGAGTGTGATACGTCAAATTGTTATGAACCGCTGGACCGCCTCTTCTGAATCGGTTCGCCTTTCTTGGATCGCCGGTAACCTGCAAAACACGCCGGGGGTGGTCCCGGCGCGAACACTCCGACGCCCAAGTAAGTCAAGAATTCAGAAAGGGTAGCAGATATAGAAGACAATGCGTATTTCGTAGATGTTATGTGTTATGTGTAAGAGGAAAGGAACTTGTCCCTTTTATATCCGAAGGCGGACGCCCTAAAGACTTGTGATGACAAGAGTCCTTCTTCCGCCTACCTCTGGACAATGCAAATCTTATCCAACGACCGTAGAGTCCTGCTCGACCTTGTCTCCCTATGATTCGGGAAGATCTCCGTGATACGCGCAACGACTCCCTGTTGTAACATCATCCACCTCCTTCTACCAAGTTGAGCTCTTCCTTTGTACCGCCGAGCTCATCCTAGCATTCAGGTGTGTTCGCCCAAGGTTTACTTCATTTATCAGCTCGGCCACGTGCCCAGCTTACAAGCTTGGCCTCCCACAGTTGATCAACTAGCTCGGCTAGTCAGCTAAGTTCTCGCACTTGGCCGAGCTCATCTGAGCTCCAGCGCTTACTTTGAGTGGACCGGGTCAGCCTACTTGCCGAGCTACTTCCTTTAATATCAGCGATGCTATGCTACATCAGAGTGTATGTTCGGGCATTGCGTCCCCATATAGCTTGAGTAAGGCAGTACTAGACTCTCGAGTGAATAGAGAGTGTGCCTGCGTGCATGAAACATAACTTGAGTGTGTGTTTTGTAAGAGCTAAAGGGCATTCCATTATACGATTGGTTGGGCGAGAGCCCGTAAACTTGCTTGTGTGTTTTTATTTACTTGATAGCTGCTTGAGTGATGTGCTTGCATGACCACGTATTATACTTGTTTTGGGAGAGGAAGGTTCAACAGACGATTTGGAAGGCTGACTGATTGTTGAAATCAGGCCGCATGGGGTGATAGTTAGGCGAAAAAATTGAGCTTACCAGCTTACCATGTGACAGCTTGTATGACAACATTCTATTATTTACTTAAAACTACTGCAATACCCATTGTTCAATTTTCCTTTTTCAACCATCAATTATATATATACTTTCATTAACCCAAAAAGAAGTAAAAGAAATTACCGATCAAATCAATCTTTTCTAATGCATCGGTTTTATTGTGTTCTTATCTCATACTCATATTTCATCAAAGTTATCTTACTTTGCTTTTGAAAAAGACCTACATGAACCACGAAAAAAAAAAAAGAAAGAGAAAATGCAAGAAAAAATCAAACGAAAGGATTTCTTGCAATAGAACAGAGGCAGTATCCCGCGGTAAAGGAGGTTGTCCATTTTCAGCTCATTCCAAGAAATGCAGATATTAAGGAGAATACAACATGTAAAAAGCAAAAACAATGATGTGTGGAGAAAAAGATCTTAAATCTCAGTAGAAAATCATTTGGAAAAGATAAACAAGTTGTTTAAGGTTTGCTAACGAAAGGGCACCTTAAAGTCAACAAAACGCAGCACTGCTTCGAATCTTCGTATTAAATCAAATCCATCATGCATAATGGTCAAATAAGGTAAAAAGGAATAACAAAAATTATACTGTCTCTTCATTTTTATCTTTGCCAAAAGAAATAAAGAGAGTACACAAATTAAAAAGACTTCTATTGCATCAGCCCTTTTCCTCGGCAGGTTAGAGTTTTTGGTGAAATTCCCACCTCTTGGGCTTAGAGATCTCCCGTTTGAAGAGAGAGGAGTGGAACTATTTACTCTCGGGCCCATTGTAGAAGGCCCAGTTCCTAAGAAACCTTAGAACATGAATGATGGCCCAATATTAGTGAAATCCATTATTTCACAAACCACACCACATGGTCTCCTATTCTTGATAGAGCTTCTTTTGGTATCGAAGGCTTATTATTGTGAAAGGAGAGGGAACTGTATTGAGGTAACCAAATTTCAGTATATTTATAAGTATTTTATGTGTAGAGATATTTCTGTTTTATGTATACATTTGTAACAAGACACGCCCATCAATAGATTCCTAAATCTTTAGATAAATTTATAGCAGATGCAAAATGAGATTGGTGCTACTGTCATTTTTTTACAACTTAAAAGCAGAGTGCATAAAAACCAAAATAGGACTACTACAGTAACTTCTAGCAACTAGCCAGCACTTTAACCACACGTGTGTCGTAATGCAACCTGACTCTGCAGCCATATCACAGAACACAAACACGAACAAGCAAACATTGCTTTGCAATTCACTGTGGTACGAATGAGTATATATTCTCGGACAGAGACACGTTTCATCTAAAACAATAATCAGAACAAAGAGCAATTTGTTTATTCTCAGACAAGAGATGGGTACTGCTTGGCCTGGCTCCGAACCCTCTTCTTATATTCAACTCCATCCTGCATTATTCGCAACAGTTTGTGAGGACTTCTGAAACTACCTTTTCTATCCAAAACAAGCGGCCAAAGTATTAACTAAATAATTACATGTATATGTGTGTTAATCAACAAAATAACTAACAATGCTGTGTGCCGCAAAGCACTATCAGATAGCACATACACATGGAAAAGCAAATTGCGAAAATTCAAAAGCAGAGATCGAAAAAAANAAAAAAAAAAAAAAAATGTTACAGAAATTTTCTTGGACAGACTCAGAACCCCATAATTGGTTCGCACATCAAGACCAATGACAAATGCAAGATATCCAATATAACAAACATAAAACTGATCTGATGAATCCTCATTCAGGCAACAGAGGGTCTAGCAGGAGGTCTTCTTCTGTTCTCAAGTAAATTTTACATGCAAGGTCATGCTTTTCAAGCAAAAAACTTCATACTTATATCTGATACATTATACTTTTCCGCATACTAAAACAATAAAAAAAAAAAAAAATGCGAGCATTTGCCTTAAAATCATTGATTTTTTTGCTCTCAAAAAAAAAAAAGAAGTTAACATTTACATGTGGGGGTCTCATAACAACAGTTTTAGGGTTGAGGAAAAAACTATATACCTGTATAAAGAGATGGTACCCCTCTGTTTGTGCTGGGTCAGCAGGATTCGGCTGGTCCAGTAAATCCTGTATGCCCACCAGAATTTGCTTCACTGTGATTGCGGGGCGCCAACCCTAAAGATTCAAAACACAAAGAGGAAAGAAAAATTTACGTTCATGATCGATATCATATGGTTAGTTAGCAGCAGTAAAAACCAAGAATAATGGCCTTACGCTGTCTTCATTGAGGATTGACAAACACACAGTGCCAGATGGGTACACATTAGGATGAAAAAATCCTGGTGGGAATTTACACTTGGGCGGTTTGCTTGGGTAGTCTTCGCTAAAGTGCATTGTGAGTGGATAATAACCACCATCCCAATCAGTCTGCAAGTTCAGACAACCAAAATTCACACATCAACCGGAATGGAGAAAGTGTGCAAAGTGCATACCATATGCATTATGTAAGTTATGTAGATCCATTTAATCTAGCTCAAAATTGGTGAGTGCTAGCCAAAAAAGGAACCGGACTCGATCATGTCTGTGCTGAAACACCCAAATCTGACTAATTGGGTTTTCCAGAGGCACCAATGAATCGCAAAATTCAGATTAAAGTTAAAGAATTCAAAAGTTTGTTCTCCACCATTCAGTAGAATGCTATTTTAAGCACAGGCACTAATAGACATTCTAATCTCATACGATAATATACAAGGAACGACTGAGAGCTATAAAATATCAGAACAATGTTGTTATAGTGCTTCACAGTCATTGCTCTCAAATTGATAGGGAACAAAGAGGTAGGGAAGCCTCAGTGTAGATTCTGCTTAAACACTATTACTAGATCCCGAACAGCTCTTTGGGAGTGAAACTAGTCATTTAGGAACATAAAAGTCTGAGTCACGACACTCATCTATAGCGTGTGTGTGTGTGTGTGTGTGTGTGTGAGAGAGAGAGAGAGAGAGAGAGAGAGAGGTA